AATTTTGCAGTTTTTTTAATCGAAATTGCAGCAGCATATTGAATCAGGTCATCAAAAATTTAACAATCTATGTCAATTTTGTCGGCTTGGTTTTTGTGAGCTAAAAGATTTCAAAGATCACATTCAATCAGAGGATAGGCTACCTCTTTTAGATCAACAACACACATCACTCAGCGGTCCCTCTGGCTCAACCACACAGGCAAGTGACATTGATAACTTTTCAACTTCAATTGAAGTTCGTGAATCAACCATAAAGTTTAGGTTAATGATTTTTATAATTCCCCAATCGAAATATTGAAAATGTTCTTATCCAATTTATATTTCTGAAGAAAAATGAGATTCAAAGTTTGATAATAGAACTTGTAATTGACCCTGCAAAGTACAGTTTTGGGCTAAACTTACTTTAATCAAGCATGCTAATGCTGTTCTGGACCAAAGCGTACAACAACCTGAAAACGAACGCATTGAAATTTTCGCTACTTCTCTGATGGTAACCCTGTATGGAAACGGTTTGTCTGATGAATTGTTTCTCGAAATGCTCGGAAAAATGGAAGCTGCTTTCCAGAATTTTTCAGCTCATGGTAGCGGATGGGATCTTCAGCTTGTAAGTGAGTTTTACATGAAATTCGGAACAATTGTTACTAAACGTTACCAAGAGGCTCTTCGCTTATACCTCTCCCGCTAAAATAGCTTGTTCACAACAATTGGTTAATATTCGTAATCACAGCGATCACAATTGCTTTTTGTTATGCTACACTGCCGCCTATCAGCTTAGATACAAGCCCGATCTTTTGTTGGTAGGTTAGTTGACCCTAAACTTAAAGAGACTGATCCTCACACCTATACAAAGCCCGGAACGCATCAAAAAGGAGATCTCAGTAAAATGATTGTCTCAAAGTTTGAAAGTGCAGATATTTTATCATGGATCTGCTTTGTTATTTGAACCCGGAATTCACAACTTTTGATATAAGACCTGCTACAATTCGTTTGTGAAGATCGAAGGCAAAAAAAAAGTTTAAAGCAGTTGTACCGTAACTGTTTTCATTTTTATTACAACTATTTTGATCATAAAACGCACGAGCGATTATGTAAAGATCATGATCCAGCTGTCGTGATAATGACAACAGCCAAAAATGGTTGCCACAAATACAAATTTGAAAATTTTCAAGCTCTTTGGCATGCACCTATCTAGAAAAACATAAGCCCGCTGGATACTCATTGGTTGCTATCGATCATGAGTCCTCAGAACCATTTTTCTTTAGTCTTGATAGCTCTGAAAACTGTTTAGAAAGTTTTATAAGAGAGTTACATCTGTTAGATTGAGATGCTTACATCTATAAACGGAAAGTGCCACATTATTTGGGAGACTGTAGTCAACTGTAAAAAGAAGAAACTTTGAACTTTTGGATCTGTCAAGAAAACTTACACGACAAATACGACATGGAGGAATTGGCATCATTATTCCAATCAAAATCAGCAGCTTCCAAATAGAATGTTCAAAGACTTTCACACTGCTTAACTTCAAAAAAACTAGTCAACGAAGAATGTGAACAAAACGGCAACCACGTAATTTTAAGTCGGGTTTTAACGCAAGCTAAGAGTGAATTCTGGACGAGCTACTACAGAAAAATCCTTAACACACAAATGATACAGAGAAAAAATCATTAGAATTACTTCGGTATGAATGAACATCAACATGGTTGTCATCTAACTCCTTAAAAAGCACAGATTGTATCTGTACCTGAAAGAGTTCAATGACGCCATCCATTTCGCTATGATTGGAAACTGGATGACATATCTGCCGTCTGCGAATGTTGCAAAGTTAACCTTGCCGACCATGACATGATATGGCAATCATATAATGGCAATCATGGCAATCATATAATAACATATAGCGTAATACAATATAAAATAATTAACATAACATAATGTTTTATAATGAAACATAATATATCATAATTTGAAAAACAAAATAATGTAAAATAATACATAATATAACATACTATATTTTATAGTACTATAATTTGTAGTATAATAAATTTGATAATTTGATACAATAAAAAATGTTATATTATAAAATAATATAATAAAATATAATACAAAATTTTATAAGATAAAGTAATATAACTTGATATTCTACAAGACAGATAGTAATATTAAAAATTATGTTATATTAAATAAAATAAAATGTTATAATACAATGTAATACATGATAAAAATAAAATATTAAAATATAAAAAACGATATAATGTAGGATAATAGAAAAAATATAAAATATTTTAAAATAGTGTAATATATGATAATAGAATATATTATAACATAAAAAAATTAAATGTAAAAAATAAAAAATAATATGATATAATATAATATATTACTACATTACAATATAATACAAAAAAAAACAATAATATAAAATATTATAAAATCAAATGGCATAATGTTATCAGGACATTATGTTAAACAAATGGTATATAACATCTGATTTTATGTTATCAGGACATTCTCGGAGATTGCAACTATGGCCTCTAATCGTGGCTGCTCAAAAGTTTGTAGTATTCGAGCTGTAACGATTTTAATGCTTTTCGAAAACTTTTATTGATTTTTTAAAATAAAATTCCATTTGATTTATATTCATGAAGTAAGCTCTATCAAATTATTGATGGCAGAAAATATTATACGCACGGACCAATGAAAATGGTAAGCTAAGGTGAATAACTTAAACAAGAATATACTATTGATTACAAAAAGTAAACTATTCAATTGTCACGTTCGACAATCTGTTTGAAGCATTGTAGGTGTGAATCACACGCAAGGTTATTTTATGCATTTAGATTTTCAAAATGAGGTTTTCTGTAAGCTTTTAAATGTGTTTTTACTCTTCATTCCGTTTTTTTTGGATTTCAAAATTTGAAGAACTCTATTTTGTTGTTGCTTAATCGCTTATTTGATGACGAATTGAATATTTTTTCTACCAGTGTTTGGCAGAAAATTTTTTTGTATAAGTCAATTTTACTTACACCCCAAGCATTCATTAATATAGTCGTTTTATTGCTTTCTCAAGAAACATTTATGAACTTTAAGTTTCAATTTTACTGATGAGTTAAGTTCTATTGAATATACTCACAGAGTAATTTCAGATAATGTACACCGTCCGTCTGCTCGTTACGTTATCTTATTTTCGGCCGGATAGATTCGTGCAATTTTTTAGTCAAATACCGATCTTAATCTTACTCTTATATCTCCTAGTCCTAATAGATCTAGGGTATACTGGTATATGCGAGTTAGTTCTTGGAGGTTATGCAGAAGGAGAACAACTGTATTCTGAGTTTTATTTAAAATGTTTTGGTGCTGAAACTACAAATAGTTTCAGCACTTACAAATAAGTGTAAATGTTAGAGATGGAATATGATTGATTAGTTATTAGTTTTTTTTATAGTGGTTTTACATCATAAATCATAAGAAAATTTTTACAAGGAGCAACATTTATACATACTGAATCAAGTTTTCGTTCCTAAGCTTTGATAATGAGCTGGTGTTTCAAAAAAGATCCGTATAGTTTAAAAAGTTTGCTCCTTTAAGTTGCTTCAGTTAAGACTGTCTGTGAAATTTTTTACTAGGTACAAAATTTACATTTACTGAAACATGTTTCCATTCATAAGCTTTGGTCATAAAAGGGTGATTTAAAAAAACTAATCGTATAGTTTAAGATATTTGTTCCCTTAAATTGCGTCATTTCAGCACTGTTTTGGATTTTTGGCCCGGTTAAATTCAAGTAATTTTTCTTAGTTTTTAGGCTATTTTAAATTAACTTTTTCAAATCCAAGGTTTTTTCGGAGCTTTTGGTTCAATCATGCAAAAATTCTGCAATGGTCGTTCAATTTGATTAGGTGAGCTTCAGCTCAATCTATTTCTTTTAACATCCGAATTGATCCATCGGGCTGGTTGTTCTTAAAATACAATTTGGTTCTCTTGTCCCTAGTAAATTTTTCAGCTTCTGCATTTTTTTGATAAATCAGACCCTTGAATCAAAAAACATGTTTTTTTTTGATATTGTGAATACAATATTATTTTTTTTCGAAATGGTTTTTTGATCAATCATAAGGTTGCTTACTTGAAAATGAATGCACGGCAGTTTTAGTGTTCAAATTTTCCAAAAAAAATTGAATATGGAGCAAAAACTAAATGACTATAATGTTCTTTGAGCCTGGAAAAGAAAATTGGGTCGGCTCATCAGTAATTTTGAAAAGAATTATATTATATTGGTCCCTAGATCTACCTTACCAAAAAATCCAGATCTTACATTAGTTTTGAATTGCAAACGGCTGATTAAAACATAATTTGACAAAAATGTACAGTGGTTATTTACAATTGTTACAGTGATTTGGGTGAAATCTTTATATTTACTTTACAATTATTTAAATTCAAATGTGTTATTTAAGTAAATTTAATTCAGAGCAATTACTTCAACAAATAAATGATGTTTTCAATACACCAGTCAAACAATCAAACAAATCTAAAGACGTGTTTTGCCGTACTTTTGTTAGAGGCAGTGTGAGATTTAAAATTATTTGATTGTTTAAAGAAATATTGAAAAAAAAACTTTTTCTTCTGTTTCAAACCTGGGAAGTCATCAAATGTACCTCAGAGTTTCATCTTCAAAAATGAAAAAATTGATAACAAGCCATACTACGTTACTTTCTGCAATAGTTTGAGAAATTTGTCATATATCTGAGTACGTTTTGTTAGTAACGTGCCTGGCATTATCACTTTTTCAAAAATTGAGCTTTGAATGATATATCGGAAACGTAGTGAAAATACAGATATAGCAACAGACTAGTTAGTAATAGAAAATCGCAGTTCATTATCAAGAATCTCACTTGATACAAGCATTGATAAGCTCAGCTACTTCTTTTACTTCCTTTAGGATCAAACGAAGTTGGTATGCAGTCACTGAATATGATATTCCAGCCGCAATGACGCTTCCAAGAATTGGTAGAAACCACGCAACAGAACTTTCGACAGCCTCCGAGGCGGCTATCAATGTCAGTTCAGTCAAAATAATTCCACTGCATGTCTTGACAATTGTCAAAGCTGCAGTTTTTAGAGCTTCTTTCGACAAAATTCTGTCAGGAGCTTCTTTGCGTATAAGAAACAGCAGTTTGTGATCTTTTTCCATTGAAACGGCAATGTCGCTCTCAATGGTTCCCGACTCTAATCCATTCAGCTCCTCTAAGCTTGCAATTGCCCCTCTTGTCAACCCGAAGCCGACAAAATATGTCAGGAGTTCTTCAATCAAAATTACCATGTCGATCATAGCACCGACTCCGGGAATCGGAATAGCGCCACCAGCAGCCGAGGCAAGCGCAACTTTATAGATTCGCGTTTTGAACATATCGAACTTCATATCAATCATCTGTTGACCAAATGCTCGAATGGTTAACAGAAACGCTTCTCTTTTCCATGTTGACACGTTATCCTCGCAAATGTCTCGTTGTAGCCTCGGGAAGTCAAGTTGCTTCGGTCTTCGGCAGTTTACAATGTACACCTTGTGCTCTGTGTCAAATCCAAGTCTTTCAATCTCAGTCTGGAGATTTTTTCGAATTTTTGCGACCACTTCTTCCTCACTCATATCTTCGTTGTCCTCCTTCTCATCCCTTATTGAGTGATCAATATGTGTTCGCACCAGGTAGAACTTCTTGTTTTCCTTCTGAACTAATTCTGCTACAAATTTGGCGTCCGAACTAAAAATATCCTTTGTGACAATCAGGAAAAAGTCATACGGATGCTCTTTGTATCCAATTGAGTCAATATAGACATCGCGTTGGTGATTCACAGCGTCAACACCGGGTACATCCCACAAGATGATGTTCGAGTTGGAAGGATGAGGGAATGGCCTAACATCTGTTGTGGTAACTCCAAGAGCGCTGACTTCGGCTACCTTTTCCCCCATAAAAGCATTGATTAGGGAAGATTTACCCTGCCTCGCTTGACCAATAACCGCAATATTTATCACTTCTTTTCGCCATTTTTCTCGTGCTTCTTTCATTTTTTCGTACAGAGTTGAGCCCATACCGTAAGTTTTTGTCAGTTCCGCAATAGTTTCAGAAGTTTCGCCCTCAATGTCCCCTGCTTGAGCCATTACAATATTTCTGAAGAATCAAAATGAATTAAGAAAGTGAAGAGTAACTTTCTATAGGAACTAGAATTGAAAGAGTTTTTACCAACAATAAATCTACCCGTCTTTTTCCAATCCGCCGACTCAAATCCGCAAAAAGAGCTCAAAAAAACTTATGTGAGAAGTCTATCAGACCAAAATATTTTTCAAGCTACGACGCAAGTTAATTCAGATGTGACCAAAATTTCTAGCGTATATTTTACAGTCTCAAAACGGGATCACTCTAGCAAATATTTTAAAATAGGAAAAACGCCACTTCATTTGGTTTCTTAGAGAAATTAAGCAGCTTAAGTTTTGTGGCTTCGGTCAAATTTAAAAAAAGAAACTTTCTAAGTTGTCCATTTTAAAATAAGGACAGTCGGTTGCTGCACAGGATATATCCAGTTAAAATAACTCTCAGAAAAAGTTACCACAAAGCAAAAAACCTTGTCATTTTTCTGGAACGACCGATTTAGATTGAAGATTGCCTTAAAAAATTGTTGAAATTGTGGCAAAAAAAAAATTATAATATGAAACACCATAAAACTTATTAAACGATTTTTTAAATTTGTGAAAAACTTAATACATGGCAGAATTGAATAATGGCCTTACTTCAGAGTGTTAAGTTTGGACAAAAAACAGGCGTGAATAATCAAGCCATTTTCTTCCATTGTATAGAGTTTTTCACTGATCACCCTCCTAAAAACATTTTTGGAAAACAATTTTGACAATTATTTTACGAAAAGAAAAAAAAAGAAAAACAAGAACTGAAATTAAGGGTAATGTCATTAGAAAAAGTTCTGAAGTAATTTACACGATCAACTCAGAGTTTGGCTGCATAAAAATTTGAAATAGCAACGACAATCAGAAACGACAATGTTTAAAAAAATGAAGCTTTAAAATTTTTTTAAAGCTTCTCATACAATTCTTTTAAGACAGTTTGAATAAATTAGTTTTAGTTGAGTGGAAAATAGTGAACGTTGTGATACATCTAAAACCTCGCAACCTTGAAAAGTTCCTTACTAATAAGTATAAAAGCTCCGGAATTAGGATCTTCTTATTTAAGACTTGTTGCGCTTCTTCATAAACAGGCAGGCAAAGTTCTTATTGATTTAAAACTTGGCGATTATTCTTGATCAACGCAACTTTTTAAGGTAGCAAGACATTGAAACCGCAAAAACAAAAAAGATATGTTTTCTAGTTGCAGAAGTACTGAATTTTTCTTATTATTGTTTTGAAACTTCATCAAATTTGAAACTGATTTCCAATGTTTCTGGTAAAGTGAAAATGTTGATTTTGTTTTGTGTTTGAAAGTTGTTGAGGTAAAAATTTGCCCCAATTTTTGCCAAACCATATTAATTGCGCTACTAATCTAAAAAAGTTTTGTCTCTATCATTTTTTAAAATTGAAACTGTAAATTAGGAAATTGCGTTCATAATAAATTAGCAAAAAGTTTTTTCAGACAAAAATTCAAGTTAAATTTTTCTCAGAATGAACTTCAAACATTTTCAGAGCAACTAGCTCTACACTTGCGAGAGAAGTAGAATCAAATTAAGATTTATAACCTTCAAGTATAATGGCTCCCAAAATGATTTATTTCTGCAATCATTTCTATAGACTTTAAAATTTTTAAAAATATACATAGGGAAAATGACCAGAGCTAGACCCTCTTTGAAACAATCAAAAGTTCTAGGTCTTGTCAATCAAATTCTAGGTCTTATCGGTTTTTCTGGTTCTGAAAAAGCCACTAATTCTCGCATCGTAGTGAGCTCTTTCACAGAAAAAAGTGGATGAAAAACTTGTTCATGCTGCGTGAAACATACTCAGCGAAACGATTGAATTGTTCAGTGTGGCTACTTCCTTAATGTCGGCAGTTTCCAAAACAATTTAACGTCATTTGTAACACTTAGTGCAGATTTGAAACTTGCATTCCCAGACCCGGAGAGAGCCAATAACTGATTGCAGCAACAAATGAACGATACTTTCCGGGAGAAGAGCTGAGATTATTTGATCGCGCTAAAAAAAACAAATTTGAAAATAAAATTAGTTATTTGGAGAGTTCAATAACAGACAAATAGAACTTTCCGTGGATAAGTGGCTTCAATCAATTTTAATCAGGTGAATCAAGCTATTCGGTGGTGTAAAATTGACGGAAAGGAATAAAGCAAAAAATATTTTCAAGCTGTAAACTGAAAACTCTGAGTTTTATGCTCTTGTGTTGAAATTGACAAGAAAACTCTCATGCTGTTTTTTTCCTTAAGATAATTCCAAAAAAGACCTTCCGAAAAAAATATACCCAGATTTGAAAATGAATCCCCACAACTAAATGATGTAAAATAACTAAATAAAGCCAAAATGAGAAGAAAAGTAGGAAGGCCATCTAATTAGAAAGCCGAAACTAAGAAAGCCGAAAGGTAGTAGAATCCAAAAATCTGAGAAATCCCTGCAAAAACAAAGTGCAGAAAAATTATTTTAAAAAATTTTGAATTAAGAAACGTCTTCTTTAAAGATCAATCAAAAAGCTATTGAATAAACCTAGGATTTAGTGCTTTTATTTGATTTATTGGCGTTTTTAATTCCTTGAAATCTGTTTTAGGATTTATTATTAAAACTCTGACACAGACAATTTATAAAAAAACATTGATGAGTTTTGCGATTTGAAATAGATATCATTAAATCATTTGAAATAACACACGTTTACTTTAAGTATGGAATCAATTTAAGCATGACATAATCTTTGTTTCTCTCTTGTTTCTCCAAAACTGTGTCATCACTGCTTTAAATATTGGTAGTTTTTGTTGTCCAAGTTGTTGCTAAAGTTTTAAATAATTTAAAATGTACAAAACTTTGTCGAATAAAAAGCTAGATTGAGCTGGAAAGACCAAGTGGGATAGTTTGATGATTAAAAATGTGGCAGTTGAAAAATCAGCGCATAGGCGAAGCTCAGATACGCACAACTGCAATAAAAAACAAGAAAGCCACTGAAACGAAAAAAAGTAAAGCCAATCCGGAAAAAGCATAAGGAGAAGATTTACCAAGCAAATACTTTTACAAAGCCGAAAATACTTTTACAAAAACCCTATAGTAACAAAAATTACCAAGACTTAATACTTAGAAAAAAAAGGTCCCGTCACCCTCAAACCACACGCACACAAACTTCATTTTTTTGTCAAATGATACACAAAAAAAACACATCCCAGCCGATTTTATTAGACCAAAAACTTTTGAGCCGGAAAAACAATAAAAGAACAAAAGAAAAAAAAGTCGAATAACTTATGAAAAATGAAAAAATTCTATTTCCCTCTAATTCTCAAATCACACACACACAAGCTCAAAAAAAATCTTCTTTGCTTGTCAATCGACGCAAGATGAGGTCACCAAGCCAATTTTGTAAGGCCGAAACCTATTAAGCCGAAACTTCTTAATCCGAAAAAAAAACTAATAATATCACCCTCTTCCTCGAAACAGTAATATTTTTTTACTTGTCGAGCGACCTAACATGCCTCCTCTGAGCCAATATAAAATATGCCGAAGTCTATCCAGCCGAAAAAAAAAAGATAAAGAAAGTAAAAAATATAACAAATCAAGTTCGTGAAATTATAAACAAGTTTTAAAAATCAAATAGGACAGGCTCATAAAAAGCTATTATGAACCAAATATGTCTGTTGCGGTAATTATGTTGCAAACAGTTTTTTCAGGAAAGGATTCCAGGTGAGAGCTGTGAACAAAGTTATTCACGGGATAAAAATTAATTACCAGATTGCCAAACCATTGCTAATCGCAAGGGTAAAGAACGAGAAATGAAGATTGACATTTTTCTTCAGTTTTTGTAATTGGTGAAACTAAATTGGTTTCCTACTTTAGCTGAAACAACAATTTTGAGCATTTAAGTCTCCAAAGTGAGCACAAATTGGAGTTAGCTGTGTGTTTTTGGCACATTTGCAAAATCACGTTATCTTATAATAATTATATTTTTCTCCGCCTGCATAAAAACTATTTGCAAAACCGAAAATGGCTATGATGTAGGTAATAACTTTTTCTTTATATACAAAACTGACTCTGCAAACTTTCAAAGAAGAAAAACGCTCAGTATAAACGTTTGTACTTCTCTTAAAATGTGTACGTCTGATGTTTTTTTCGCATGTGTACTTCTAGTCAGATAATATTAAAAATATTCACCGAGAAGTTACACATGAAATTTGCAAAATTACAACAAATTGAAAAATAAAACTATTCTCTTCATTTGCAAAAATAGACGGTGCTAGCTGATGATCTATACATGCAAAAAATTACAGAAAATCTACACAAACCGTTGATACTTTTTGCACGTGTTAACTCAATAAAACATGTGATACCACCAGAGAGTACATGCATGAGGAGTTAGCTGAAAGAACTAAAAAAGACTTGTGAATTATTGAAAGTTGATAATCCATCCGAACAAGAAAAAATAGAACCTTGTATTTCTGGTGATATTGGCAAGTACTTTGATTAAAGCAGTGGTACTAGAAAATGCATTCATGAAGAACTTCACGAGAAATTACATATAAAACTTGAAAATTTACGAAAGAGTGCGAAACCATTTTGGCTTTATCTGCAAAAATTCACTGTCCAAAAGTAAATAATGGTAGCTGATAACCTTTCTTTAAAACAATTGTAACAAAAGGCACGCATGATTTTGCTGGTTAATAGCATAGGCAGTGCTTGCAAAAAAACAGTGGCTGAGAATTTAATTTAAAAAATAGCAAATTTGCGTCACTTTGGAAAAATCATTAGTTTTTTATTTGCAAAATTCAAGGCTTAGCAAACATTAAATCTAGCTAATATTTGAACAAGGCAAAACTTCTAGAAAAACTGCATGGTGATATTTTGTACGTGTTCACAAGAATGAAACATGTAGTTCTAGAGAGTACAAAAATAGCTGTCACTTAAAATTTGCGAAATTACGAAATCTTGAAGTGAAAATTTTTTTCTTCAGCGAAAGTTAT